CGTTAAATAAAAATAAGTTTGATAGGTTAGCGTTAAATAAAAATAAGTTTGATAGGTTAGCGTTAAATAAAAATAAGTTTGATAGGTTAGCGTTAAATAAAAATAAGTTTGATAGGTTAGTGTTAAAATAAAAATAAGTTTGATAGGTTAGCGTTAAATAAAAATAAGTTTGATGGGTTAGTGTTAAATAAAAATAAGTTTGATGGGTTAGTGTTAAATAAAAATAAGTTTGATAGGTTAGCATTAAATAAAAATAAGTTTGATAGGTTAGTGTTAAATCAAAATAAGTTTGATAGGTTAGCGTTAAATAAAAATAAGTTTGATGGGTTAGTGTTAAATAAAAATAAGTTTGATGGGTTAGTGTTAAATAAAAATAAGTTTGATGGGTTAGTGTTAAATCAAAATTAGTTTGATAGGTTAGTGTTAAATCAAAATTAGTTTGATAGGTTAGTGTTAAATCAAAATAAGTTTGATAGGTTAGTGTTAAATAAAAATAAGTTTGATAGGTTAGTGTTAAATAAAAATAAGTTTGATAGGTTAGTGTTAAATCAAAATAAGTTTGATAGGTTAGCGTTAAATAAGTTTGTTAGGTTAGCGTTAAATAAAAATAAGTTTGTTAGGTTAGCATTAAATAAGTTTGTTAGGTTAGTGTTAAATAAAAATCAACTAGTAGATGAATGGTACAAATTATTAGTAAATGAAAACCTCTTACAAAAGATGTCACATTTATACTAGTAGCTCAGTTTTGTAAAGACACAACTTACTTCGTATGACTAAACTTGATCAAATGATGGTTATCACAGTATTTATTAGAAACAGATCAGTGTTTACTATATACAAAATAACAACTAAATTCTCTGTTTTCATTGGATATTTTTGTAAAGCTACCAGTGATGAGCTTCTCATGATAATTATTAAACTTGGTCAGATATATTACAACAGTTCTCTTGATTAAACCAAAAAAAATGTAACAGTCAACTCATCAACGGGTTCTTGCGGAAACAAATATACAATTACCAACCCATCTTTTTCTTCATTGTTGGGTATTCATAACGACACATTCTCTTAATTTCTTCTTCTGTAGCTGTTTCTGCTACTTTGAAAATCAAGGAGGTTTCTCGAAATCTCAGATTTTCTGTTGGAACAAATCCATCCAGAAATATGTTGATCCCTATTGTAAAAAAGAAGTAAAAACATTTATAATTGTACTACTGATTAGGAACAACAACTTTTATATTTTCAAAGTGATAATATTTCACAACTAATTGGGATGAACCAGTTTCCAGCATTCTTAAGATATATCAATTCAATACTTTATCGAACAAAACATCAGTCAACTTACACACTGAACATCAACATTTATCAAACACACATCACAACTGAAACTTGCCTTCACGAACAGAGAAAGGTAATGTAACTACACCATAAGCTCCAGGAACTCCATAGAGACAGCAGATGAAATCAGACAAGTAATCTAACACAGACAAGTCATGCTCCACAACAATGATGTACCTAAAAACCAACAATATTGTTTCATTAAAAGAATACTTCATAATGTCTTACTTGTCAGGGTGAATTACTCTACAATACTCTCTACCTGGTGACATGATAACAATAAATATATTAATCCTTACTTGTCAGGGTGAATTAGTTAGTGAATTACTCTACAATACTCTATCTCGTGACATAATAACAATAAATATATTAAGTCTTACTTGTCAGGGTGAATTAGATAGTGAATTACTCTACAATACTCTACCTGGTGACATAATCACAATAAATATCCCAAGTCTTACTTATCAGGGTGAATTAGTTAGTGAATTACTTTACAATACTCTGTACCTGGTGACATAATCACAATAAATATCTCAAGCCTTACTTGTCAGGGTGAATTAGATGACGAATTGCCTGGGCAGCTTTCAGCCTTTGCTTGACATCCAAATAACTGGAGGGTTCATCAAACATGAAACTAGAGAACACCCACAAATATATATATCAGCTGTGCACCAAAAACTGCTCTTACAAATCTTGAACCTACTTTGCCAATAGAAACTTTCAATCTTAAGTTAAAATTATAGAACAACCCTCACAACCTCAGTAAAAGTTCACAAACTGGTAACAAAATTTGTTTGATCTAAATTTAGCTGACACTGATTTGGCCGTAAAGCTACAAAAAATACAGAAGTGTGAGGAGTGTAAAGTAAGCCACAGAATTCAATCCGTGTTAGAAAAACCTAGTAACCACAGTCATTAACTCTCTCAACACAGGCTCGGTCAATCTGACTGACCACGTGACCTCTTTGTAATCGATTAAAGTTTTTATAGATTTAATACTTCTAACTTTCAATATAATGTGTATATCTTCACAAAATTTAGCAGTCTTTCAGTTCATATACAAAGTCATATTTCTTAGTGAAGTACTTTTAATAAAATAAAATAAGGATTTGACCATGAATATATTGAGTATTTGTTTTGAATAGTCCATGTGCAAAGTAATTTTTCATGTTAAAACTAAAAATACTTTTCCTCATCTCAAAAATCTCAAATTTCCTTTGTATAATCTCTAAAATCTCTTAAATGAATTTCAAACGTTTTTTTTTCAGTAAAAC